TGTTGTTAATAGACTCATGCTCCCTCCAATGTCGAAGACTAGCCGAATTATCAACATCTATTTTAACACTAGATCGATCATTACAGTCATATACACTAAACCTATCGCATACTAAAACCGAAAAAGTCCCTTAACCCCCAATTTGACGAAATAAAGACCCCCTCCCCCTCTCGTTCGTAATAAAAAAAAAACGCGCGGTTACCGTCACTAGGGCTCTTAGTAATCATATTCCGAGAAAAATAAACGACCTCTTACACGTTACGGCAGTTTTTAAAGTTTATGTCTCACAAAACATTTATTGTCTCACAAAACAAATATTTATCTTTGTTGATGTCAACATTACATCTTTATCATCACTATATTTAATTCATTCAAGGTTTCTTCACTTTATACTTTCTGATGTAATATTAATTTGCCAATTTCGCTTAATTCAGGAACATCACCTTGTTTAACCAACATTGAAACTTAGCTTTAATATCTTATCTTTTATCGTATTTTATCTGTATAAACATCTAAATATTATCCCACCTACGTATCACTGTTGCAATAAACCTGTAAATTGTTAATCATCAATTTTCTATCTCATGTAAAACGAATGACAATCTTATATCATCAATGAAACTGTAAATCGTATTTAAATATACACAATCTTTGTTAAGTGTTCTATATATTTTAATGTGTTATCAATGTAATGTTATGTCATGTACTTTTTACTCTGTAAATTGAACAATTTCAGCTTTTAGCTGCATGTCCAATGATTTTTATCTCAATAAACCAATACAATACAATACAATACAAATTGATACGCCCCGAAACAAGAGACGGCGATCTCGGAAAAGGGAATGGGGTGGGGGCACGTCCCTAAGATACTAGCCCCATCCCCCGAAATTTTAATAAAATTCAAATTATTTAGTGAAATAGTGAAATTTAGTGAGTAAAGGCCATAACACGCTTTATAGACTCTAATAAATATGAACTAATACAAACTTTCTAGCTAGGTTTTGCTCCACTATACTACCTATAGCTACTGGCGCCCTCTATATAGCAAATAATGAGATAACCACCTGTAAGTGACCTTGCATGGAGGTCTAATCCCATCTGGCCAAACTAGTACAGATGGGCTTTAAAATATAGATAATTGGAATAGGCCTAGTCATTCATCCAAAATATTTTACTTTTTTTTTCCGTATCTGCAATTACATATTTACCACACAAAAACAAATGCATAATGAAATCAGTTTCATGAACGAAAACAAAAATTGGAAATCTTTGATAAAACTATATACACAAAGGAAGGTAACCCGACACATGCTCCGCCGACGATTGCTCCGCCGACATTTACTCCGCAAAACGCGACAATTGCTCCGCGACATTTGCTCCGCGACATTTGCTCCGACGTCAAATGCTCCGCCGACAGTTGCTCCGCCGACAGTTGCTCCGCCGACAGTTGCTCCGCCGACAATTGCTCCGCCGACAGATGCTCCGCCGACAATTGCTCCGCCGACAATTGCTCCGCCGACAATTGCTCCGCCGTCAATTGCTCCGCAAAACGCGACAATTGCTCCGCCGACATTTGCTCCGCCGACATTTGCTCCGCCTGAAGCGACACTTGCTCCGCCGACATTTGCTCCGCCGACAATTGCTCCGCCGACAATTGCTCCGCCTGAAGCGACAATTGCTCCGCCGACATTTGCTCCGCCTGAAGCGACAATTGCTCCGCCGACATTTGCTCCGCCGACAATTGCTCCGCCGACAATTGCTCCGCCTGAAGTGACAATTGCTCCGCCGACATTTGCTCCGCCGACATTTGCTCCACCGACATTTGCTCCGCCGACAATTGCTCCGCCGACAATTGCTCCGCCTGAAGCGACAATTGCTCCGCCGACATTTGCTCCGACGACATTTGCTCCGCCCAAAAAGTGTCCCATAAACTACAAATGCTACTAGTACTACGACAAATGCTTCGCCGACAATATTTTCTTTACACCTATTTTTTTCGTTTCTTTTTTTTCTTCTTCATTTTCTGAATGCATTTCTTGAAATAATGTAGATGAAATGAAATGAATGAATGTTGATGAAGTGGGAGGAAAAAGGAGTTACCTAAAAGTCATTTCGAATATACTGAAATAACTTTCCATCTATCACTGTACGTCCTATATAATGTATACTAAACACTCATTACATGTCGTGGGAAGTTTTTAAAAAAAAGTAGAGCAGCAAGCCACATTCCCCAATACGCGCATACCTCCTAGTTAATTTCAAGTAGCTCATCAATATGTAATACCTGAAATTACCTCGATCAATGCATCTTACTAGGTAAAGCATTATACAATGTAATAGGTCATCATGGAAGTTTAGAAAATAAGTAAGGGGGATTTACCAAGTGTTGATCTTTTTAAGAGTTTTATAAAGAAACAAAAAGATATTGAATATTTCTCAGCGAAAAAAAGGAACAAGCTTGTTTCGCATTTTAAGAAATGGCGATTTGACTTAATATGATACTCATGTTGATTTAACTTTTATTCCTGTGCCCCATTACTCCCCTTTATGCACTGGAGTTCAAACTATGATTTATATGTGTACAGTGTATTTTTTTTTACTATAATGTTTTTTTTGTATAACTTTCTTGTCCTTTCATTATTGTTAGTTGTTCTTATACATATTGGTTTTTTTGTTTGTCTAATTATTACCAATGACTTGTAAATATGTAATTTTTATATGATTGAAAATTTAATAGACACACAAATATAAAAAAAAAGTTTAGAAAATAAGGGCATATAAGGGCAATAAGGGCTTATATACGTAAGGAAGAGAACCCATTCAGACGGGAAAATGAGATGGCAGCCTTTCTGCTTATTCACATTTATACAAATCATTTTGTTGCAGTTTGATGTTAGTTCTTCATGATAAGCCAATTGCTCTTCTTCCGGTGGCTTCGTGAGTCCCTTAAATTATTTAGTGAAAACAAAGTACTCGAATGAAACGGAGTGTTTTGCACACTAACATATATATATTAAAGCTACATACACTTAACTAAAGGAATGAAACCTTTAGAAAATGGACTGGATATTATTGAAAATATTATTCTAAACAAGAATGTACTACATGATTGTATTACTTTACGTTTCAATTTTTAACGAGAGAAATATAACTCGAGAGGGGGAGCAGAGAAGAAGTGATGGAAATGAAAGAAGACTAATAGCATGAGAGGAAAGAAAAGAGCAAAGAAGACAAGAAAACGGTGTAAACAGGAAAAGAGGAGCATGGGAGAGAGAGAAAGAGAGAGAGAGAAAGATAGCCTTGAGCTTTGGATCAGCTAATGAGTAATACATGAAACAGATTTTGAGCGGAGTAATTATTTTTCGCCGGAGAACTTGCGTAAGGAGCTATAATTTTATTTTTTATTTTTTTAAATCAAACATTATGGGAAATAGCAAAAAACGGTTGTCTTTTTTGCTCTTTTCTTTCCTCTCATGTTATTAGTCTTCTTTCATTGAGGTAATTTCAGGTCTTACATATTGATGAGCTGTTTGAAATTAACTAGGAGGTATGCGCGTATTGGGGAATGTGGCTTGCTGCTCTACTTTAAAAAAAAAACTTCCCATGACATGTAATGAGTGTTTAGTGTACATTATGTGGGACGTACAGTGATAGATGGAAAGTTATTTCAGTATATTCGAAATGACTTTTAGGCAACTGCTTTTTCCTCCCACATTATCAACATTCATTCATTTCATTTCATTTACATAATGTCATGAAATGCATTAAAAAAATGAAGAAAAAAAGAAAGAAACAAAAACAACCCGTGAAAAAAAAATATTGTCGGCGAAGCATTTGTCGTAGTACTAGTAGCATTTGTATTTAATGGGACACTTTTTGGGCGGAGCAAATGTCGTCGGAGCAAATGTCACCGGAGCAAGTGTCGCTTCATGCGGAGCAAATGTCGTCGGAGCAATTGTCGGCGGAGCAAATGTCACCGGAGCAATTGTCGCTTCAGGCGGAGCAATTGTCGACGGAGCAATTGTCGGCGGAGCAATTGTCAGCGGAGCAAATGTCGTCGGAGCAATTGTCGGCGGAGCATATGTCACCGGAGCAATTGTCGCTTCAGGCGGAGCAATTGTCGGCGGAGCAATTGACGGCGGAGCAAATGTCGGCGGAGCAAATGTCGGCGGAGCAAATGTCGGCGGAGCAAGTGTCGCTTCATGCGGAGCAATTGTCGGCGGAGCAATTGACGGCGGAGCAAATGTCGGCGGAGCAAATGTCGGCGGAGCAAGTGTCGCTTCATGCGGAGCAATTGTCGGCGGAGCAATTGACGGCGGAGCAAATGTCGGCGGAGCAAATGTCGGCGGAGCAAGTGTTGCTTCAAGCGGAGCAAATGTCGGCGGAGCAAATGTCGGCGGAGCAATTGTCGCGTTTTGCGGAGCAATTGACGGCGGAGCAATTGTCGGCGGAGCAATTGTCGGAGGAGCAATTGTCGGCGGAGCATCTGTCGGCGGAGCAATTGTCGGCGGAGCAACTGTCGGCGGAGCAACTGTCGGCGGAGCACCTGTCGGCGGAGCATTTGACGTCGGAGCGAATGTCGCGGAGCAAATGTCGCGGAGCAATTGTCGCGTTTTGCGGAGTAAATGTCGGCGGAGCAATCGTCGGCGGAGCATGTGTCATGGAACCCAAAGGAAGGGTATCAGTCTTGCGAGTTGCGATAACATCAAAGTTTTGTTTTATGCCCTTACTTTAAAAAAAAATATCTTTAACAAAAATCACCACTTTCTTATCATGTGGCCGATTTCGGCAAAACACTTAACTTAATTATAAACTCTTGTCTCTTTTTGCTCTTGCGTTTTATAAAATCTAATCTATCTATTATTTTAATTCATTATACGAGCAGTAACCAAATCAAAATTTTGAAGAAGAAAGGGTGTCTTGTTTTAAAGGTTTTCTACTAAAAATGTGATAATATAAAAGTGACTTTCTCATCAAAGTTTGGATATTTATGTACATAAGCAGGCTAACATGATTTAAAAAAAAAACTATTTACTACAACATTATCAAGCAACCATTTTTCAATGGCAGTATCAGCATTTATAAACATCATAAGCCTGAACATTTTTCAGCTCATTTTATATATGAAAGACTAACATAAATGCATCACGTGTGAAAATTGAAATGATTGTCACCATTACCTTTTTTTCACAGTATTTTTAAAATGAAATATACATCTATTTTTACAATGATTTACATTCGCACTATCAAACTAATCACACTTTGAGAAAATGGATGGTCATTGATATCACTTTGGTATCATTAAAGGCACGTGATACTCCTTTGCTGTATTTACAGACCCTCAAAGTACAGAATAATAGATCTTCAAGTTAAAGAAAAAAAATCCACAAATGTTATTTGTTCTTTGAAAGAGATATCACCTCTTCTGACGATTACCAGGAATCCTTATTCATCACCTTAAACATCCTCCTCCTTATCGTCATCCTGATCTTGGCCACTGACGTCTTTGTCATCTAATATATCCCAATCTTCCGCCGAGTAGACACGAATTCCATCCCCCGTGTGCATGATCACGAGGTCGTTCCCATAGTTACCAATGACTGGCCACTCGTCTGACTGGAAGTCTGCCGACACGTCGAGCTCGTCGATGATGTACTCGAGGGGACCACCATCTTCCAAGGAATGCTTGGCGAGCGTGACGATGTGGCTGCCCCAGAAGGCGGACAGAACGTAGAGGGCGTCACTCTCTGTGCAGGAGATGGACAAGTACATCCTACCAGGCTCCTTGATTTCATGCTGGACTCTCCCGTCTTTGTCAGTGATGATGACGGCTTTCTTGTCCCCGCGCAGGAACACCAACTGGCCTGTCTTCGCCGCAGCAAGACTTCTAACCCTATCGAGTGGAACCTCGAAATTATCTGAAGATAACTGAGACGAGCTTTTCTCAGTTTTTTCCCTATAGATTTTCGTGGATATTGTGAAGATGTCTGATACTGCTTTTGGGATTTCCGGTCTTGTTTCCTTTCCTTTCGAATCCGAAGGAGAGAGGGTGCCTTCTGCCTTGCTTGGAGACTTGGCACTGCCGAAAGCAGATACTGTAAGAATAAAACAAGATGAAACAAAAGGCTTGGATTGCAACAGCTGAAAGAATTACAGAGCATTGTCTAATATTACTGTACACTTTCATAATTTTATACCATCAAGTTCTTCAACTCATCAAAATATTCAGACACTATATTTGTGATATCCTTCCAGACCTAATGAATACGAAAACAGTACATAAAATGTATTAGTACATGTATATTGGGGCATCGCAATGAACAAGATTTGACGAAAGCTTGATATAATATTATCATGTTAAACCTATCTATTGCGACCGCCCAAGGGAAACACAAAAAGTGGCCTTTGTAGACAGGTTCCTTTAGTACATGAGAAACCATTTTCAAGGGAAACAAGAAATGTGGCCTTTGTAGACAGGTGGTCTTTGTAGACAGGTTCCTTTAGTACATAATTCAATGAGAAACCATTTTAAAGGGAAACAAGAAATGTGGTCGCTAAAGCAGGTTTGACTGTACATTACGTAGAACACATTACGTGCTACGCATCAACCCATACACAGATGGGTGGGTCGGCTTGTATGTTGGTGTGACTATTTCGAATAAAATCTTATCCATTTGTTAAAGGCCCCCCCCCCCCAAAGTGTTAGGAGCCCCGAAAATTAAAGACCGTCACCACTACTGGGCCAGAAGGGATTAGACCACACAGAGAGCCATCGAGGTCACTGTGACAGGTGGCTATCTCATTAACTCAGCTCTCATTTAACATAAGAAAAAGAGGATCATGGGGGACCAACAGGCACCGATTGGGGACGTTTTCTATATAGAGGGAGCAAAGAGCTACAAGTATGGCAGTGTGCCTTTAAATGGCAAAATTTCACTTAAATTGTATAACAATGTGTAAGAAGATGTCATATAAGATACATTTCTGCAAGGATTTTCAAAATAATGTGTTTGAAGTCGGATATTGATAAAAGACTACAAAATGTTGGTTTTTCTGCGTACAACAGAAAACCCAAATTATGTATTCTTTTATTAATATTCGCCTTCAAAACACATTAAAAACAAGAAAAAAATTGGGGGGAATTTCGCAGAAGTGTGTCTGAAATAACATTCTCTTTCACATTATGATACAATATAAGTGAATCTTTGCAAATAGATTTTTGGCGAATTTGGGGCTCCCAACACTTTAGAGGGGCCTTAAAATTGCATTATAATTATTAATGCGTTTTTACGTAAAGGAGGAAAATGTCTTCACTCACGATGAAGGCAATCTTGAGTACTAGTTTTGGCAGGGGGTGAGTGGGGTGAGTGGGGGGGGGGGCACATGAAATTATATCCATTATTTGGAAATGTGAGAGGATTTTATATCGCTTGAAAATAACATTTACATCAGTTGACTTTACCGGTTCAATATTTACCTGTCTGAGAGTTGGAGGTTGTGCCAGTGAAGCAGGGTTGCTGTTGAGGCAGTGTCATACCAAAGGTAAATCCACCACCAGCCGCTGCCATTGGTCTCTTATTTGAGTTACCTTTAACAACCGGAGAGAAAGGTGGTGCATTCACATTTATCGCAGATGATGTCGTTTTTTTCTGTTTTGTTTCGCTGACCGGTTCGGACCCTGATGGGGTTGCTTGACTTGAACTTGATATGGCTGGCTTGTTATCGGCAACGACGATGAGGGACTGGGAATCAACAGTGAGTCTTGCACTGGGATTCAGAGGAAATGGTGGGACCGTTGTGTGTTCATCAGATGTTGGGAAATAATCCAGTTTGAACCTGTAGAGTTGCGTGCAAGCTGCGTCGGTATCAGCAATGAAAGAGAAGGCTTGGTCCTTCATTGATATGGCCACATCTACCACCTGTTTGATGCTTGCATTAAGTTGAAGCTTCATCCAAGTGGCCGGGTTGGCTTCGTTAGACAACAGTTTCTTGTAAATCACCTTCTTGCAAGCAACGTACATTACCTTTCCATCGGAGAAAATTTTCACAATGTCTTTATCAGGAATCGGAATCATCTGAGTCTCTCGCCAAATACGCGACAACGACAGCTTGGCAAAGCGCGCCATTTGCTCTGGCATCTTCGATCCTTCTATCATGGTAGATTTCAAAGCCACGAGATCCATAGAAATTGTCATAGTGACATCTGACGCGATCAATTCTTCGAGTTCTTTGAGAACATCTTCAGGTAAGAACGGACCTCTAGATATGTCAGTAACCTCTTTTGCCGAAACAACCTCTTTAGCCTTTGATTGCGCCCTCGTGAGATTTTCTTTTGTTGTGTTCATGTTGTCTCTGAAAGCTTGTAGTTTGACGTTAAGCTTTTCCTCCAACTCGTTAACCTTCCGCAAAAGTTCTTCCTCTGCTTTATCCAAATTGTCAACAGCCTTTGACTTCTGGTCCCGAATACTTTCTTTCATCTTATGAAACTTCTGATTTGCTTCTGTTTTTTGTACATCCACGTCATTTAACATGGTGCTCACATGTTCCTCCTTTTCCTCGCAGCTTTTCAGACGATCTTGTAACTTCTCCTTTGTTCCCTGGAACATCTTCTGCACTGTGGTGCAGTCATGGTCAGGTTTGGTATGGTCGAGAACGATACAGTCCCTGCAGATACGTTTCTTGCATGTCCTGCAGTAGAACCTTCGCAGTTCACCGCCATGCTCTTCGCACTCGTGTGCCTTTCTCCACAAGCCCTCTTCCATCCACTTGATTTTGATAGTCCCGTTCTCAATCTTGTCCAGGGGAACTGTACGGTGATCTTTCATCAAGAGTTTCATTTTAGCATGAGAAGAAGCACAGGAGTCACAGATGAAATGGAGACAGTCTCGGCAGTAGGTTGTCAGAGGTGATTCGCTGTCCCCACAAGCGTCACATATTATTTGGGTTGAGTTTTTCTTTGCCCCAAGAACTTCGAGAACCCGGTAAATCAGCGGATTGGACTTGAGACCTGCCACACCTTCTCTCGACAGAGTAGTCACCTCTCTGCACAT